TTTATACGTTTAAATGTTTTTTAACTTCTTCCTATCTATGTTTATATTTCTATTTCCGCGTCCATGTCTCCCTTACCTTACTTTTGCTCACTTATTCTACTTACATCTGCAATCCAGCGTGCGGTTGGCATTTGCTACCGGTCAGACTATTTTGGAGTATCTTTTCTTTTTGCAGAGGACGAATACGAAGGAAGTTTTAACTCCTGAAACTGAACTTCAGTCCATTATAACTTGAGGAGAGAAAACTTACAACTCCCCACCACAGTGCATCAGCATAAGTTGTAAACGGCGCTTTACCATCCGATGTTGGCTGGTCTTTTTCGGCCAAATAAACAAAATACGAGGAGAAGATAAGACCTAGGAAGCCAATGTAGAGTGTTGTGATCAGTTCCTGCCGATGAATGAACACAACGGAACCGAGAAGACGCCTGGAATGAAGCACTGGAGAGATTTACGCGTGGTTTTATTTTGGAGCAGTGTGTTTTTGAATCCAGAATTGGAAATAGTGTCTGACTAGCTATGAATTTAATAAATCAAGATTTAGGATTTTGACTACGCAACAAGCGAAATAGGCAACGCGAGTAATGGTTCTTTTATTATTGGCCCGATTTCCACAGAAGCAATCTAAAATCAGTGATAGTTCTTCAGCTGCTGATTTTCTTAGTTTAAATTTTTCGGCTCAGGATCAAGAAAGCCTGGTGCATCCAAAATCTAAGAGCATCCCAGTAACATCACTAAAGCGATATACTCACACTGACTGTCCGAGTGGTTTTCGTATTTTCGGTAATTTTAAAGAATTTTCTCACCAAGTTCCACCTTGTCGGTCTACATGAAGCATTCGTAGTATTTGCAAAAATCGTACTCCGCTGCAAATTATTGAGGAAAATTAATTTCTTTTTTTAGAAGTTTAGCTTGATTTTGTTTTAAATGACTTCGCTATAGAGGTTGCGCTGCTCTCTTTTTAACAGTCAAGAAGGTCTGTCTTCGCCAGCAAGACATCCAGCCCTTATACGCCTCATTCATTCGTTTCGATGGTAAATTAGTACTGGCATATGCCAGGGAATCAAACCTATCATTAGCTTTTTTTTTAAAACAAAACCTGAAAGAGGAAGTTATCAATCCGCTTTGACAGTGGACGGCTAAATGCTCATGATGAGCTAAATGACCTGAAATTTCAACTGCTTTGGTGCGATAATTTATGCGCTGCAAACGACAAACTTTTAGATTTATAAGCGCTTAGGATAAGCGTAGGATGTCCTTGACGGATATCAGTGATAAGCGGTTGCTTTTCTAAATTACTCTTCTGTAGGAAGGGAACTCTTTATCGGCCGCAAGCACCAAAACAGACACGTTTTTAAGCTTAGTTGCAGATATCTTAATTCTATTTTCTATTTCTCGTAGATATCTTAATTCCATTTTATATTTTGAAGTGAGAAATTTGAGTAAATTCTCCAAAAAATTTACCGTATAGCACTTGCTGCAAACACCTGTCCCTCACTTCCAACACAAATAACGATAATGCTTGCCAAAACAACACACAAGTCTGAAAAAACGTAAAATTCAAGAGCTTTTTCCTAAGAATTACCTAATAATTTTTAAGAATTCTCCCAAGAATGTATTTTAAACGGTTATCAGTGATCTTGCGGTTAAAATTCGAAAATCAAAAAAAAAAATTAATAAATACACTCAAAACATCTTACGAACAAAAATTCTATAATGTTTGTTTCCCGAGAATTGTCAGGAAATTTTCATAAAATGCTATTCAAACATATTACCAATGACCGAAATGGGCTTTCGCGCAAACTTCAGGCGGCCAAAAAATCCGAGATATTTCGAGCGGCAGCCAGCGGACCATAGACGAATACAGTACTCCACACCAAAAAATATAACGAGAAATATTTCCTGCATTTTTATCACATAAAGTTTTCCGTAACAGCTGGACGTGATACTTGTTCTCATGTTGAAGTTTTTTGTTATAAAAGTCGACAGTAAGGGAAGGAAGGGAAAGCAACGGAAGAGCGGAAAGGAAAGGCCGTGAGGAGTAGCCAGCGGTCTGGAAATGCTGAAAAGGCATATGAGTTGCTCAAAGTTAAAAAAAAAAATGTGGTGGGGACAAAAGATATCAAAACAGTGCATAATTCCTCAGGCAAAGGAAGAGATTATTCGTACCAGAAACAGATTCAAGTATATGACATCGTATTTCTCGGTCCCAAAATGTATGCTAAACTTGGAAGCAATAGAATTTAAATTAAAAGGAGGGAGTGAAGGGAAAGGTGGGAAGAGGGAAAATGAGCCTCAAATTAGTCAAGAATTATTGTTTGGGCTTCAAAATCTATCATCGTCAGCGATTACAACAAAATTAATTTTTATTAAAAGCTGAAAGTATTACAAAATAGCATTACAAGATGATAATCTAAATCTGCTGGCACTGATTAGTTTTTGAGTTTCCGAACAATCGACTCGGGTATTACATGTTGGTCATTTTGCTATGATGACTCAGCACTTTAGGTCAGTGTTATAATTTATTTTAAACATCAGCGTTATAATTAATAAGCACTAATATCAATAACTGTAACATTTTAACCTTAATTAGCAAAATTATAAAATTAATTAGATTTAGGCAATTGAGGAGAGGGTTGGTTGGGCGGGGGGAGAGGTTTGGTTGGGTGGGGGGAGGGGAGAGTTGATTGAGCGGGAGGATGAGTTATCGCGCTAATTCACATAATATTATAATTAATGGTGATATTATTTTGACTCACACTAATGCTATAATTAACGTCAAGGCTGATTTATACTAATCTTTTGTTAATTCATGCTGCTGCTAAGCTACTTCGCGTTAGTACTATGCTAGCTCATGTTAATATTGAACTAAATCATGTTAACTTTTGCGCATAAATTCATGTTGCTGCAATATTTAATTGATTATTAACAAAAGACATTTCAGTTTACGCTTCAGAATTTCAGTTTACGCTTCACTTTACGCTTCAGAAACCGTAAACTTCAAAAAGCTTAACCATGAAAAAGAGTATCTGATGTGCTCGACTGATGTAGATTTCCACTGTTGTCAAGACGCTGAGAATGAGACAAGACAACACCAACATAAACACACTGCAACCGAATACTTGAATTTAAATATTACTAGAATTTTTGCCCAAACTAAGCCGTAATTGTGTTTTGAATTCAAATTAACTCTTGTATTCTATCAGGCTGAAAACGCTGTTTTCCTTAACGACGCCGAATTCTCATAATAAGGTAGGACTGATGGTCAGTTGCAGCTTGCAGTAAGTCCTTTTGTGTTAATCTACATATTTCTCCTTTTACAGTTTCTGGCATTGCCGGTTTAAAACATTTTGCCGTCTTTCGGCCGAATTTGGTACTACCCATTTGCGTCAAATGTTGTGCTCCGGCATCTAATTTTGGTACATTTCAGAGCAAAGGCTTGCAAATTTTACACCACCAGGGCAAAAATTTCGGCTGTTTTTGAGAACAAAAATTCCTTCACTGAATTTAGCAGCGTGTTTTTTCCAGAAAAAAAGTGCACCTGAAATGGTAGAAGAAACATTTCCAACCAGATGGGCGCTCCAGAAAATTATAAGCTCTCAGCTTGAACGTCGCTTTGACTGTTTGCCGCTTAAATCTTGCATCAAACATCTGTAAATGGCAAAGTTGTAACAGCCTTTCTGCAAAATATCATGTGACACTTTTGTAATAGAATTTGCACGATATCATGTGACACACTGAATGTTGAAGAAGAATCTTTCTTTTAACCAGACTTATAAGAAATCAAAAGAAAGTGGATATGAATTTGTAAATGCAATCTATACTTTAATATGAGGACCACCGGGACAGGCAGCGTGAACATCCAGTGCTTTGAACATCGCTCTGAGTGGTCGTTTGCTTTCTCCTTTTTAATATTCGCTAATGAGCGAAGTCAATCAGTTATCAGCAAGGTGAATAATTTGCCCTTTTTTGCAAGGTCACTATGATATCCTGCACACAGAATATACATTTTTATCTATAATGCATATATATATATATATTTTTTTTTTTTAAAACGGACCTATCCCTGTATAACTCGTTCATTCGTTTCGATGGTAAATTGGTACCAGATTAGTCCAAAAAGTTGAACGTGCCATCAACTTTTAAGCGGTTCTCACAAGGGAGTGCTATCGACAGCTTGGTACGTGATGCCAATCGAACTTTTTGACGTATACATTTTTTTTTGGCATATATTTTTTCAGCATTTACTTTAAGTACTTTTTGTCAATTCTCGGACGAAAGCTAATTGCAGCTATTTGCTATTGCATTATTGTTTAAAGCTCATGGCCCTGATTCAATTTTCGTGAAAGCTGGAATGCAATGAAGAGTTGCTTCCGCCACTACAGTAATATCACTAACAAAGGATCCCCACACCGACTGCTCTGGCAGTTCCGTTAATCCTGATCATATAGCTCCGAATTAAGAAACAGTTTTGGAATTGGCGTATCAGATCATTGAATAATTTGTTGAATAATTTCGTTGAATAATTTGAAGCAGAAAATCAAGGCTCACTGTGTTCTAAACTCACTCTCTTGAAGGGATTCCTATTCATAACATTGAATCCGGCCGTTGAATCACTGTTACTCCTCAAAGATAACACATCCGACGACCGCATTTCCAGCCACCGTTGCGATTGGCATTTTCCCATCCTGCAGAGATATCAGTAGTTCCTAATTTTGGCTCTCGCATGAATGATAAAATATCACAATTAGCGTACATATGCATGTGTTTGCATATGTGTATGTATGTGTATGCATGCATATGTATTTTTGTATGTGAGGATTTTTGTATGTATGTGTGTATGTTTATGTGTATGTCTGTGCGTATGTTTGTAAGTATATGCGTCTTCGAGGAAGTCTAGAACTTCAATCATTAGATTAGGCACAATTTTCATTCATTAAATTGTGGCCATAGTTAAAAGTCACTTTTAGATTTTTCAATTCAGGCCCAAATCCAGTCTAATAATTTGATAAGAAAAAACGAATTTGAAAATTTAGTAAGCTAATTTGCCAAAAGTGGTGAATATACTACTTGCAATTGAGTGACTTCTGTAGCACGCTCCGCTTCAACTTATCTAATATTGTTTGAAAATTCAGGCTAATTCCGTAGTTTTGGAGCCAAAAAAGCTACAGGACTGAAAGGAATGATTACCAGTTCACCTTGCAATGAGCTGTTTTGAAATCGGCTTTCTGTTCACATGTTTTATGAGGATTATTCTTGAACGAAGAGTTGAGACAGCCAAGTGAGAAGAATTAGAGAGAACAGGTTGAAAAAGTGGATTACTAGATACTAAAGAAAAAAAAAGAATACTAAGAAGACGCCAGGGAGATGAAAAGACCGCGAAAACAGACATATCCCATT